AAAAAAAAAAACAAACAGGGACAGAACCTCATTTGCTTTCCTCTGCATCTCAAACTCATTTCCAAAACTCTACAGCACAAAGTTATGTTACAAATAATAAACCCAGAACACAAAATACCAGACTACTGGAGAATTTTATTTATTTTTACTTATGACAGCCACATAAAGAGACATAAGAGGATATACAGTTTTGCAGTTCTACTTCTCCCTCAGGGGTGAGAAGTTAGAGCCACTTGGTCTATGACACAGTTGCTAAAGTGCCTCACTGCTCTTGTTTTACACAGTGATTCAAACTGTATAACCTGACAGTAAATAACCTTTCCTCTGTACTATCAGGAAACCCAGCCTTTTTTCCTGCGAAGTCTACTGACAAAGCCCAGTTCCTTGCCTTGGAATTCAGGGATCTGACTCCTGGTAAAAGTGGTACCTCAAGCTTCCCACATTTCATAGGTACAGTCATTAAATCACTGACCCAACATGACGTCTACTCAAATTGTTGATCTTACCTGAAATCACACGCCGTGGTAAGTTCTGCTCCTCCTCCAACAGCTTTCCCTTGGACTAGTGCAACACTGATCAAAGGCAATCTACACAAAAGAGTTTTACAACCAAAATTCATGCTTTTAGTCTTCTAGAAATTATGAAATGATTCAAGCAAACCATCTCTCTGCTAACAGATAAGCATACTGTTCCCACTCAAACTACATCTTTGTGGGTAAGTAGTACAACACCAGTTCGACTTATGCACTATGTTATGAAAAACACGTTACACATTACACCTAAAAAGACTATCTGCAAAAAGGAGTGACAGGACAGTGACACAAGACCCTGCACTAAGCCAGTACACTGCAGAAAGCAGTAGAAAGGGACATGAAGAACTGCATCTCAGCTATCTGAAAATACTGAGATTCAGCATGATATCTTCAGCAGCTTCTTCAGAATGCTACTATCTCAGTCATCAACAAACTTTTTTTTTTTTTTTTTTTAGGGGAACAAAACCATCCTTTGAGGATGGCAACAATCTGTTACCTTTGATGGTGTTGTATTTAATCATGTTCAAGGTATGTAATCATGTTCATAGTAATTCAAAGGACAGAGGGAAGGAAGAGTATGAGACTATGTAGGGA